TTCACCTATAATTCTGAATTCCGTGCATTATCACAATGTCTATTATTATCATTTCCTTATACTCTGCAATTGCTATTCTTATTATCTTCTTCGTTTTCCTTTTTCTTCATAATCTTCCATTTTCATTTTCTTCGTCTTTTTCATTAATCTCATTTGTATTATCTTTATTTCTTGCAACTGCATCTTCTCCTTTTAGGATTTATACACACACTTTTTCACAATCTTCAATTTGTCCGTTTCGTGAACTTCCCGCACTTGCTTCATTTTCTTCATGACCTTCACTTGCTTTCCTCCTTTTAGGTTCTCCGCTTGCCTCATCCTTCTCGATTGATCTTAATTTTCATTATTATACCATTTTTAAGACACTTTCAGAATCTTCATTTTCTTCATCTTTCTTCTCAAGCTTTACAACTAATTCTTTTTTAATATGTTTTCAATGGATTTAATTAATTTAACATGGTTTGTGTCTTCGCCCAGTAACCGAAACTGATTTTAATCCACCAATTAGAGACAAATCGCCTGCCATTAATACTAAACCGTGCAGCTTCGATCCCGTGAAACTGATAAGGGATCCGTCTTCGCGAAGAGCCCGGCAACGTAATATCAGAAATAATGGCGAGGGACGGTTCTCATTCAGTGCAAATCTGAGCGGGATATATTCGCCTATTTATCTCGAACGCTCCTAGACGTCCAAGTCGAGAATTGCCAACTTCATTTGAAGCGGGTTAAATTTAAGCCATATCTCTTGAAAATAAATCGACTGTACTATGAGCCTTTCAAATTCGAGATAAACACAATCATTTTTATTCGTTATTGCCGATGCGGCGCGGCTAAATGAAAAAAACATCCACCCATCTCTCTCTCGCGGGCTTATAGATTGATACCTATCAATTTCGTCGATCCTTCTCGAAAAGGCGTACGCGAAGTAAACAGTTTTACGTAAACAAACGCAGCCAATTCACTGTGTAAACAGGCCTCGCGCGTTTCAATTAATAAAAAAAATGAAGAGCTAAGCGAAATTGCACGCGTCACCAAATTGTGTAAAATACGCTTTCGGAGTTCGCAAAGCTCACTGAATATGTTCCTTTAAGTTAAACACTTCTATACAGGTAGCGATCGAAACACCCTGTAGATTAGGACTTCTCTCGAGCTGTTTTTTTGTGACACTGAGTGACTAAATTAAGGAAACGTTTTCTCGACTTGAGCGAATCCGGACGGCACTTAAATCGTTTCCGGTTCTCCACAAACAAAAATCGCGAGCCACACGAAAAATTTAGTTTTCAGACGATTCCTTAACTCTTACTGCCCGAAAAACGCCTTAACGCTCTGGTTGTTCCGAACCGAATCCTCAACCTAAGGGCCGGTAGTAACAGGTAGCAGCGCGGACTAAACCCTACTATTCTTTTTGAATCTTTGGCACGCCTCAAAATTGCGCTAATTAGTTAAATCATTAACTAATTTAATTTCGGTTTCTCAATCAAACCCACGGCCGTCTTCAAAACTGCAAGCAAGCGATTCTCACGAAACTCATCATGAATAGCGCTGAATGAGCAGTTTCAGGCACGTAAAACGCATTAAGATTACTTTATCACTTGTTAACACCCGTCCGACTGTCGCCAGTAACTTTTCCAAGCAAATAACCGGTCATGAAGCACACGGAAACAAGTGACCCATTAAAATACGCATCGCCAACTTCTTTTGAAAACTATCGACCTTTAAAACTTTGAAGATAACATTTTGCAATTTCCATCCCACTAAGAGAACTTATCACCTAAAACCGAGACACCTTAAATAGATCAAAAAGAACAAATTATAACGTTTTGAACACCCTGTACCCTAAGTAACTCAGGAATATATATTTCCTATACTGAATAACACAGGCGAACCCCAAACGGTTCAACAAACTTACTGGATATACAGGGTGTTTATACTGTAAATAAATGCAACCCTTACAAGATACTTTTGTTTAACAAGTGAAATCCCAGCCTGACTTTTACCTCCACCAGTATTAAAAAATATATTCATCAGTGACTTAAGTGTACAGGGTGTTAATAAATTCAACCCTTACGAAGAACTATGCCTTTTTTGTACCGGGTGACCCAATAAGACCGTTCCTCGATCATATCTCGAGAACCGTTCGTCATATGACAGGGGTAAAAAAAATTATCGGGTAAATCGGTCATGAAGAATCGCTGGAAAATATTTTCAAGTTCTAAAAATGACCAACAGAGGGCGTAACTGCCATTTTAAATTTTAAAATTGCATTTTCTTTAAATTTCGCATAATAAATTAAAATTTTTTTTTCAGATATTTAAAGAGAACCAGTTTATCATTTTCGTAAAAACAAAAACTCAGTTATTTCAAAAACAAAGAGGGCGGTGGGCGTTCAATTTTTTTTGCAATAACCTGCTTTAACTTCTTAACCGTTTGACCCATTTTAACAAATTTGGTATGGTTGAATAGAGCATTCCTTGGGCAATGAGAATAACCAAAATATACTTAATTTAGTTGAATCCTTCTCCACCAGGGGGCTAGTTTTGACACTATGACCCAAAATCCTAAAAAATCAAAGGATCAAATGGAATATGACTTTTTCTTTATGAAAAAGTAGCCAAATAACACCCAAAGAGGCCAGTCAAAACCGTTTTTCAAAATCTCGTTCCTAACCTCAAATATTGGAAAATGAGATTAATTAATTAATTAATAAAAATGCTTAAATTGTATCTTAAATTTACTTTTTACGTATTTCTGGTACCTATTTGTCGATGGCGCGAAAGAAAAGCACCCTACACTTTTAGGTAGGCCTTGGAAAATTAAACAAATGAAATACGATGCGTTATAAAAACAGCCGTAATTTGTAAATTATTTTGCTGTTTTCACTGACCCCTTTGGGCGTTATTTTACTACTTTTTCATAAAGAAAAAGTCATATCATTCCATTTGGTTTTTTTGATTTTTTAGGATTTTGGATCATAGTGTCAAAACTAGCCCCCTGGCGGAGAAGGATTCAACCATTTTAACTATATTTTAGTTGATTCTTGTTATCCAAAGAATGCTCTTTTCAACGATACTAAAGAAGTTAAAGCAGGTTATTGCGAAAACAATTGAACGCCCCACGCCATCTTTGTTTTTGAAATAACCGAGTTTTTGTTTTTACGAAAATTATAGATAAACTGGTTCTCTTTAAAAATGTGAAAGAAGAATGTTTAGTTTATTATGCCAAATTTAAAGAAAATGGCATTTTAAAATTTAAGATGGCAGTTACGCCCTCTGGTGGTCATTTTTAGAACTGGAAAATATTTTCCAGCGATTCTTCGTAACCGATTTACCCAATAATTTTTTTACCCCTAAGTCATACGACGAACGGTTCCCGAGATATGGCCGAGGAACTGTCTTTTTGGGTCACCCTGTACAATAGGATATAATAAGTGAAAAGCTAGCTTGATTTTTGCAACCGTTTTAGATTTTACCAAACAGTATAGAAAAATTATAATATATATTCATTAGGTAGTTACTAAGTGAAGATGGTAAATGAAACGAAGATTACAAAGGGAATAATGAAGTAAAGGTAACAGAGAAAGTTATGAGTGCAGACTAATTGACGTGACGGGTAAAGTAAATTATCAAAATAGTGAAAACAACGAAGATTATGACAACAATGGAGAAAAGAAGATTATAAGGAAAGAAGATAATGACGGGAGCGAAATAAATTAAGATCAGAAGGCAAGTGGTGAAGGTGTAAGAAACTTAGAAAGGATTTTGAAGGAAATTAAAATGATAAAGAAGACGAGGGAAATTAAGAAAAAATGACGAAATGAAGGAAACAAACAAATTTAAGCATAAAACGTAAAAGTGATGCAAATGAATAACGTAACAAAATCACGAAAATAATGAAGAAAATGAAGAATACGAAGAAAGGATGCTGAATGAAACGAGAAACATATAGAACATGAAGAAAACCATGGAAGTGGAACAAATAGCGATTTTCAAGAAGATGAAAAAAGAATATTAACATACAATAGAATAGAATAATTATTAATATATAAAGATATGAAGGCATAAACCATAAGAAAAAAAATGCAGAAAAGTGGAAAATTTAAAAAATACTAAAATGAAGAAGTTAAGAAGGGAACAGAAAATATAGACAAGCCAAGTTATGAACCAAATATGTCTCAATGATGCAGAAAAAATTTATTTAGAAAATTAAGGAGTTACGTTAGTCCTAAAAGGACTATCCGACGTTATTTGTACGAGTGCTGAGATCTGAACCCTTTTAACAACGTAAGTTATACGGCACTCGCCTCTATAAAAAGTATGTTAAAACGCGGGGTGATTTGAATTCCGTACACGTCCAAAAGTTCTCAAGACTTCGCGTAGTTAAAGCGGTGTCCATCGGAGGAACCCTACCCTATTACATTTGCACTTCCGAGAATGAATGGGTCTCGCGGGAGAACACGGATTTGTATCTCATATATGATTACGGACTTCCCTTACTCTATATTTCTATCGCACTTTCATTAGCGTACAATATGTCGATTAATCAAGGTAAAACCGAACTTAATTATGCTCAGAAAAAGGTTGCATTTTTAATGATCATGTTCACAATCCAATAATAGTCACCGAGTCTACTCTAGTGATAATTTGTACCTGTTTTAATCGGTGTGGAACTTCCCCTTTAAAAATGTGGTAACCCGCATAAAAAATATTGATTTATTGACTGACACGCATTTCTACGCATTCAAACATCATTAAAGTGTCATTTTGTTTCCAATTTCCTTATAAAACGTCGCAGCCCGAGCGATATCGATTCGGTCGAGTCAATGTTTTACGCGATTGCGATTTGACACCGATTAGCATTTTTTGTTTCCGGCTTAATCACGAGCGCGAGAGCCTCGACGGTGTAATTTTCGCAAATGGGCGAAAGGTCGTCGCCGTCCCGAGAAAATTGACCTCGGATCCCCGCGAGGGTCGGCGAAAAATAATAGATGCACTTACATGAAAATCTCTTGGTCCCCCGGTTCACGTTTCCAGCAGATTATCCAAGATTATGGGCTTGCAGATACCCTCGCTCGGCGAGGGACCCGGCTGTTGACAGGACAATCCGGGCTCGCACGTTCCACTAAAACCCTGATCGCCGCCGCAAGGTTCGCCCTCGGTACGTGCACATTCTTCACAACACCTGTAAGAAAAGAGGGCGCGTTAATTATTGAGGCCCCTTGGCTGAACTAGTTCGTGTTACGTTTAAAATATGCTTCTGTAAATCGTGGGAAACAATTCAGATGCGCTTAGTCATCCTGAAATGTTTTATAAATTTTTACCAATATTACAATAATGATGCGCCCCTCTTCTGTAGTGACCCGTTATTTGCTAGTGATCGCTCACCGTTACAATGTTTTACAACTTTATACTAATACAGCAATTATGTTACGTTCATCTGTACGTTCCAGTTATGTTGTAGTGATCACTCACTTTTTTATTAAAAAGATTCGTATGCTTATTGCAGGAGTCCAAAAAATCGTAATTTAAAAAAAAAGTGGGGAACCAAACGAATACGGAGGTCGAGAAGTTTTTAAGAATCTCAGAAACAGTGTCCAAAAATCGGGATTGCAATCCAAAAAATGGAACAATTTGAAGGAAATTATATGTAAAAGGTTCTAAGAGTTTGGTGGCTGAAGGAATCAAAGTATCGAAAGGAGTAGAAAAAACGAAAATCTTCAATAAGCTTGACAAATATGAAGGATGAAATTGAATCGGAACGGAAAAGATCGGTAAAAACTGAAAATGAAGCAGAACCTGCGGATTTTTAGCCAATAATCATATTTTTTATGGTGCAATTTCATTTTCGTCACTAAAGGTCAATTTTGGTGGTGTCATATGTTATTTTCGTGGCCTTTAAAGGCCAATGATGTAAGGACATTAGAGCTGAAAATTTTGAGCCTGGGGTTTCGGGAAAGGTCTTATGACAGTTCTGGGTAAATGAAGATTGACCCTTTGGTTCCTGGGAGCATTATATACCCCCCAGACCCCCCCGGTTTGGTATTGTTGAGCCTTAAATCCTTAATGCCATTAAAGTAAAGGAGACTAGGATGCAGACGCAGATTGAGGCGGCAAAAGAGGCGAAGATGACCAAGACACGGAGGCTATGAAGGAATGACGAAAAGGAAAAAAGCCAAAGACTACAAAAAGAACGAAGGCGAAGAAGGGGACGAAGGCAATGAAGAAAACAAAAGAGAGGAAGCGCACGAATCAAGTAAGGAGGACGGAAATAAAGGAGACGAAGGAGGCGAGTGTGACGGTAAACGAAACCATGAAGCAAACGAAAGCGACAAGAAAGGTTCAAGGGACGAAAGCGATAAGGGGGACAACGGCGACGGTAAAAAAAGAAACAGGAGAGGGAAGAAATGAAAGGTTCTATGAGAGCGAAGGCAACGAAAGAGGTAAAGGAAAAGAAGGGAACGTAAGAGGCGAAGGAGACAAAGGACACGAAGGAGCTGAAAGCGACAAACGGGACAAAGCAGATGGCAGACAGAAGTGAAGAAGGTGAAAAAGACTAAGAAGACAGACGAAATAGATGAAAGAGCAAAAGAAAACGACAAGCAACTAAACGGCCGAAGACAACATAGGTGGCAAAATAAAGGAGATGAAAAAGAGAAAGGAGATGAAGGGGATTAAGGCGACGAAAGAAGAAAAAGGTCACAACGGAGACTAAATGGACAAAAGCGATTTAGTAGAGTAAGAGGATTGAGGGGTCCAAGACTACAAAAAAAAGCTAAGGCGACGAAGGAAAGATCGAGGGCGGAAACATTTACGAATTAGGCGCAGTAAACGAAGCCAATGACGCAAACAAATGCGACAAGAGAGGCTATGAGGACGAAAGAGGTAAGGAAAGCGAAGACGAAGGTAACAAAGGAAATGAAAGTGACTATGAAGACGAAGACAACGAAAGAGGTTCGAATAGAACGAAGGAGGCGGAGGAGACGTAAGTGATAAAGGGGTCGAAGGCGGAGGAAGAGAGTCCTAGGCCACGATTGAGATGAAAGCGACTAAAGGCCCGAAAGCGTTAGATGAGACGAAGGCGCGAAAGCGGCGAAGGAGAAGGAGCTGAAGGTGACCAAATGGGAAAAGGGGACGAAGGCGACGCTAAAGACGAAGTAAACAAAAACGACAAGGAGAAACGGAAAATGGAAAGGGGATGTCAGCGAAGAAGATGAAGGGGAGAAAGGAAGTTACGGACACAAAATGGCAAAGAGGACTGTAGAAACGAAATAAACAAAGACAACAAAGAAGAGGAAGGCGATTAGAGGACTGAAGGCAATGAAGGGGACGAAAGGAAAGGAAAGGAAAGGAAAGTCAGAAAAATTGGAATGTTTAACAAATTCTGCAGAATTTGACACTGAAAAAACTAATATATTTCAAGAACACGAAGACGTTTAAAAATCAAAAAAGAAGAACAACCCAAGAAATAGAATGGATCTGAACATTTTAAAGAATTTGAAGAACTTGAACAATCCATTAGATAGGCGACTAAATGGACGAAAGTGACACAAGAGCCGAAGAAGCGAACGAAGGGAACGGAAGAAACGTAGGAGACGAAGGCGCCGAAGCATGCGAAGGTGGCAAAGGAGACAAAGGTCACCGTAGGTCATTAAACAGACGGAGGCAACTAAGAAGTCGAAGGAGCTGCAAGAGATAAGAGGGGCGGAGAAAACGAATGCGACCTGGGAGGCGACGACGACAGTAATAATGAAGCATACATAGGAGACGAAGGGTATGAAAAGAGACGAAGACAACGAAACGGACGAGTGAGACACAGGTGATGGAAGAGATGAAGTAGACAAAAGTGACGAAATAGACGAAGGCAACTAAAGGGCCGAAAGCGAAAGAAGAGACAAGAACACGAAGCGAGCTGAAAGCGACGAAAGGAACAAAGGGCAAAGGCGACGAAGTCTGAAAAAGTCTATCGAACAAGCCGAAGCAGATCGTTAAATTTGTAAAGTCAGAAGAATTTCTTGAAACGGAACAATAATGGGAAACCGTAATAATCTGAAGAAGTGGAATAATTGATTAATTTGAAGAACTTAATGAATTTAACAGATACGAGGAATTTGAACCAACAGGTGAATTTTGAAAAATCTGTACGGAGAAACCGGGCAATTTCGAAAAATCGTAGGAATCCAACTATATTCATGGATTTAATTTGAAATCATAAGATTTTAATTACGCTAGAGGACTTTCCGGGATTTTAAGAGCCGGAAGAATCGGAGAAGATACGGCAAGAATGTAATGGACCAATCCACACATACTGCAATGATGATGCACCCCTCTTTAGTTATTGGTCATGTGATAGTGATCACTCACCTTCCTTGCAAAGCGTTGACGCAATTTGTACAGTACATTTTGTGTGTATTTTGTATGCTAAATTGATTATTGTCATCAAAGCATGAACGTACGTCACAAGCTTTGATGAAAAACGTAAAATACCGTCTTTTTCCATCAGATACCAGTCCCCTTACAGAAAAGCGCACAATTGGCAAAAGTCCAAGGCAAGCAGATCTTTGCCTTTGTAGGATCATTTAATCTGAATTTCTACACTCCAAAGTAGGTTACGTATGAATGCCCATTGCGACTGCAAGTAATTTACATACATTCACATTGTCGATCCCGGGTTAGTTTATCGTATTATTACGCCCCATTAGTGACGCCGGCGTTTTCAATACATCGAATCTTTTTAGGTGTAGGCGGCTTAATCTGAAATCGTTAAAGTTATAATCCGCCAAAATAAATCCCGTAGTCTCCTTTGAATTCAAAAGTGCACGCTCGTTAGATCTTTCTACATCAATTTACCTTCTTCACGAACATTTCTATTCATGATAAACGCCCCTTTTTTTATGTATTGCCGGCGCTTCTGTTATTTTTGCATTATCAGACGGAGTTCTTTTTTCTTAAACATTTCCTCAGGCTAACCTGGATTGAACATTTAATTGTGCTCATTCGCAAAAACAAACACTCTTTCTCCTTTCAAACGCAGGACGATTGCGACAAAAACGAGTCCACTTACTTTAGACGGCAAAAAGAGACGCGAGCCGGATAACGTTTGTTTATTTCGATTTGAGTTTTATGTTCTGTAAAACAGAGAGTCGCTTTTTGTGAATATAGTACGGCCACCCCTGTGAAAGATGAGAGCGTAATTAATGTGTTTATGTTCACGGTAATGAACGAAATTTGGACGTGCCCTGAATGAACACAGGTGTGGGGTGAATTTAAAAAAAAGGGAGGCTGTTATAAAAGCGTCAACTGGTGAAATTTGATTACCATCGCTACTGAGTGATCAGGTAATCAGGGCAATCTGGGAGTCTTCCAAATAAGGCGGTTTATCGGTTCACTTTTTCCTGCTTCGCCAAGCACACCCATACTTCCAGAAGGTATCCCCCTACACGTTTGCATTTGACGTCGCTTTTTATAATCCTCTTTGAAGAAGCTCGGTTAATCTCCCAGATAAAGCTCGCGCCCGCCTACCACGAAATTATTTCTGATACATTGTTTCTCCACGTGCACCCCTAATTTCAAAGACGACTGGGAGATAACAATTTTTGGCTCGCGCTCCCAGAGCCGGAGGTGATTAATACGCAAACAAGCTACGCGAATTACAAGATACCGCGTCGTGACCTTTCCGCGCCGTGTGATCTTGAAGCAATTACCTCGACGTCCCTAATTGCCCGGGAAAATGCTGTAATTGATAGACTCGCGCCCTTAACCGACATTCAGCGCACGTAACTCCACGAAACGGGCGTTAGTGCGGCGGCAGTCAATTTTTTAAATGCCCACAATTAGATTTTCCTTCATCTCGGTTGAATTTTAATTTTCCCCGTTCCGGAAGAGAAAAAAAATTGTTAATCCCGAAGGCTATTTTTTTCGGATTGGAAAACCGGGCGTAAACCACGAAAATATGCCGCATATGTTAGTTTAGGGTCGAAAACTGCCGTGGGTCGGATAAACGCTGTTGGTTTTCTACAATCATAACACCGTTGTAATATTAATTGCGTAATTAAACTCCTTAAGTACACAATGAATGTAGTTTTTATGGCCGTGCACAACTGGTACTTTACGACTTTAATACACTTTATAGTGCAATAACGCAAATTTTATACAGATTACGCTACTAAAAATTAGCAACCGACA